CCAAATGAAACAAAATCAACGATCGTTCCATAAGTAACAATAATCATAGACGTAGCAATAAAACAAGCTGTTGGGGTTAAATTTAAATATTTCGCTTTGACAAAATTTAAGTGCCAAAAAGCATTAGTAAATCAGATAAACCAAGGCGTAAAACATTTAATAGATTTTTTTATATGTTACAGATTTCCGAAAAATCTTCTAATTAGAAGACAGTGGTTTAGAAGCTTAGGAATTCCATATACAGAAACAATATCTATATATACCTATATATGCTCTGACCACTTTTGTAATAAAATGCAGGATAATATTCTTAGGATAAAGCATAAGTTAACAAAAAATATTTTATTTCATAATCAATAAATTTCTATTTGAGTAATATGGTTGTCTTTTTTCATTCATAACATTCATTCGATAGAGACAACCTAAAAAATAAACCAATTGACAGCTTTATTAGGGACAAACTTTAACTCCAGTAATATAGCCGTAACACGCAATGTAAAAATCTACATGTAATTCTATATAAAATATATATTTAAACCTGTTCTAATTTTTAGTTTTTTATATAAATTCACACATATGTGTTTGTGATAGGAAGGGTTAATGGACCGACTCTATAAAAATGAATTATAATTTTAAAATATGGTCAATCTTTTAGTTTCCTATATACAAATTTTATAAATTCTATGTAAGAGTTGATACCAAATTTTACACCGTGTCATAAGCTATTAAAATTAAAACTAGGATATACCTACCCAAATGGAATTTAAATACTTTGTTTTGTTAAAATCTCGTGAAAATCATATTAATTAACAGCTTAAGAGTATGATGAAATGTATCATTCCTTTTGTATATAAATGAGAGTAAAATTGTGTCAGTAGATCATCTCAACCGTATTCCAGGAAGAAGTAAATGTAGGGGACTGTGGAGTTCATAAGTAATAAAATAGGTTGAAGAAAAGTTAAATAATCTCATAGATACCTTAAGAAATAAAACACGCTTTCTTAACATACCTATTACACCATATTTTCCCTAGTTTATCTGCGGAAAATAAAATTTACAATTATAATTATTAAACTTGTTATTTTAGTTGCAATCAGCCCCTATAAAATGATACGCCACTGCCCATGAGGGAATGTAAACACAACTTCCTCACCCTTCCGATGAACTATTTTGGCTTCAAGCCACATAGGTATAAATTATGTATCTATGTCTTTTCTTGATCTGTGGTCATCACTATACTATATTAGATCTATGATCTATGCTGTTGTCATATGAGCCCCTGCTTAACCTGCTTAATTTTTATATTTATTTTAAAGATGATTTTTATTTTAATAATCCGAAAAAAAACCTAGTTCATGATACTATCATGTTAAAGAGATTAAACTGAATTTCATAGCAAGATGTATTAAATTATAATTTTTTATAATTATCAAATCTACTTGTGTTAATGTGATATAAACTAATTTGGTACTTAGTAATCTTAGTAAATAAAGATAAGATTTTTAGTCGTAATTAAAATAAAGAAAAGGTCAAACCCATTGTGAAACGATATTAAAATTGATATATACAAATACATGGTCATTTTTACTTGGAATTCAACAACTGGATTGTATTGTCTGGCTGTTATTTAATGTAGTAATGTTTCTCCAAAAATTGTCCAGATGTTTATTAAAAGGTTAGTAGGCAATTATTTCTTAGTTATTAAGGTTTACAATTAAATTACTTATACTTGTGCCTTGTTATGAAGTGCATTTTTATTTTTTAGAATAGAAGTTTTCTACTGCTTAGTACTTAGTGCTAATATTGTCTGCATTCTAAATTTACAAATTGCGTACAAAATATACTATATAAGTATATTCTTAAAAAGCAGTTTGTTTGGTTTGTTGTATTTCTATTTCTCATTTTAGTATCATAAGTGATATTGGAATTATTTTTATCATCATTTTATCTCTATTAAAAAATTCAGTGAAGAATGTTTAAATGCAAGAATGTAGTTCGAGTGTTTAATAAGTATTCTTAAGTGGATAAAAGACAATTAAAACAAATGCAATACAACATTTTATCCATAATCACATCACAATCATATTTGTGGAGTCAGAATTAAGTACTGGAATTTAATAAGAAAATATTCGCACGACTATATTTCTTACTAGTACTCAATGAAATGTGGTAGGTTTGGTTATGTCTACTGGTTGCTATAGTATGTTGTTTATTATCAATTATTTAATAAACAGTTCTAAACAGTGTATCTAAATCTGGTAAAAATGCAAGTAATTGTGTTCCGGTCGCTGTTTTTGAAGAAGCTCGAGAAACAATTTTCCATTTATTACCACACCAGTGAAATCCAGGGAACATTACGGAAAAGTGTTTGCCGAATTTAACGAGTGGAGGGAAAACAAAGAGTAATGACAATAAATGAAGAAGTCATGCTATCGTATTTTTTAAATTTGAAGAAAAATTATGCAATCTCTTTTACTTATGTTGTCAAAGTATTCAATGTTGAAGGCTACTATAAAGGTCTACAAAAATATAGATATTGGAAAATGTAACAAGCTTACTGCTTATTTGGAAAGTGAATCGAGAGGATACAAAACAAAAAAAGCTGCAGTATTGGAAAGAGCACAATTTTTGACTAGGGCTTCCGATAAAGAATATTTAATCATTAAGGTAATATGTCTCTGTCTAATATGTCCTTTTATATGTTGTTAGGAACTTTGAATTATTTTAGGTTGCACTAATAATGGGGGTTTCTGGTGCCTGTCGATGCTGCGAATTGACAAATTTGAAAATACCTGACAACAAGACGGGCATTTCAAGACAATTTAAAATTATAGAGGAAGGATTTTGCATGAATACTGTTATGCAGAAAATATATTTCTCTGCTTCGCCTAACACAAGACAGATTCTTTTTAAGATACATCAATCAAAAATGTACTTCTCAGCCTGTTGGAATCAACACATTGGCGAAGGTATCCTCAATAGTTGCTTCATTCCTGAATATCACAAATCCAGAAGCATATACTGGCCATTGAGCTCCTCTGTAGCAGAAGGTTATGTTGAGGAGTCTATATCTAACAAACTTGATATTGCAAGGAAAATCCAAGGAAAATATAGCTGTTCATTACAAGAAGAGACATCCGTAACTTGTGCAAATTTTTCACAAACTTCAGCAGATGTTATGCGTTCCGAAAATGATGACAACAATGCTACAAGGCAGTGGCGGCGCATGAACATTAATTGAATGTGTTCTGCGTAGGGTTGTTACATTTGTTGAATTGAATTCCGGGATATTAAGTGCCCGGAGAGTCAGTAAATGGAGCCGCAGGCAAAAAATTTTAAAATTTTCAAGGTCACACGTTTTCTTGGCATTTCTGAATTTCAAGGAGCAATCCATTTATACAAAAATACAGACTTTCACAAGAACGATTTTTGAAATTGATACCTTTTTGAAATAAGTATCTATTCATGAATTACCTACTGACGATATAAATAAATTGGAATAAACTAGATACATATATTTTATTAAATTATTGAATATTGTTTATAAACAAAAAAATAGTTTGTGAAGTTTACCAACGATTCAACGAATTTCAATTTTCCTCCGTGTTATGATTTTTTTCTTTATCTTTTTTTATATATATGTACATATATTACATTCCGGGAGATTATACGTGCAAATCCGAAATCCGGGACCCTACAGCTAATTTCCGGTACAATCACAGAAAATCCTGGTCATACCCATGTTGTTAGATGTTCTTTTAATATGTTGTCAAGATCTGCACTAAAATTTATGAGTCCACGAAACATAGCAGGGTTGTCTGAATTTTCTCTATCGTCGTGTATGCGAAGTGCTAATTCGAAAGCTTCGCAAAGTTTTTTGCAATCTATGATTTTAGATAATACATAACGATTTTTCGTTACCTGTTCATTGTGTTTCCGTATATTATCCCAATAGCCAGAATCTAACTGACTTCTTATGTTTATTTTACCTAATGACTTAAATCTTTCACACTGTATATTGTCCATGCTTTATACCCATCGAAAAGTAAGCACGGAAAATAAAAGTGTATTTTTGATATCACACCTGCACACCCACTCTGCTTTTGTGTATACATTATTGTTAAATTGTCTTTTATTATAACTTATACCGCGGCTTGTTCCACTAACTTCAATATTTAATTGTGGTGTTGGCCCACCTAATTCTTTTATTTTTAGTTTATCCTCATAAGGCAGAAAAGCAAATAAAGTTTTTTGTAAAAATGAAACGCTATTCATTTTAATAACTATAATATCTGTAGACGCCTAAACGAAAACATTCACACGTGCCGCTCGCAGAAATAAGCCATCACATACCACGAACGAAATATTACTGCATTTACTGCAGCTGTGGCTGTCGTTATAGCCACATAAACTCCATATATGCGTGTACTGGGTCACGTGCCTGATTAGCCAATAAAAACAAAGGACGCATCTAACTGTTCGCTGTGAACACATTTTGTATATGAGGTTGCATATATTAAGGGCCGTAGCTCGCGTCGTAATAAATAATAATATAAGCTCCCAGATTTATTTTAGCGCGAGTACATTTGAATTCTTTAAATATATTGTTGGTATTTAATATGATTAAATACATAAAATTTTATGTGTTTTGCTGCTTCGCAGCTCTTATAGTAAAACCGCCACTGCTACAAGGGCTGTTATTAACGGAAAGGAAGTTAAACGTGATAAAACATAAAGCGAAATGTCTAGTTCAATAAATGTAAATGTTAATATTAATAAGTAAATAAATTAAATTTGATTTATTATAGGTTTATTATTTTTTCATTATTCTATTAGTGAAATAAAGTTACTTTATTCCATTAGTGGATAAAGCATCACTTTAGATAGACAGTTCATATGTGTCGATAAAAGTCCGATTATAAGGTGGTTGTGGATAAAATACATTGTTTCCACTATTTAGCAATCTTGAGTCAAGGTTTTAGTGGGATAAAGATCAATAAGTAAAAGATTTTAAATTATTGCCAATGGTTCGGTGTTATTTTACACTATACTCAGGGCTCGACAACAAAAGACACTTCAAATTTCGAGCCCTTAGGATGATGTAAAATAACACCGAAATGTTGGCAATGATTTAAAATATAGTGTTCTTTTACTTATTGATCTTTATCCCACTAAAACCTTAACTTAAATACATTATGTCCTTATGATTACAATTTGGGCAAAAATGGAGATAGAACAATCCAATAATAAGTCGATGATGTTGCCTTTTTAACAAATGAGAATAGTTCGGTTTAATGAAAATTTCATTTTTCAGTTACGTAGGTAGGTATAGTAGAACCAATTTAAGATTGCCATTACGTCGCGCGTGTATCATAATATCAAAGACAGTCGTTGCGGACGTGTATTCATTATTAGACGCGCTAAAAAGAGATACAATGATGGTATAAATGTCTTCATAGTCTCAATCTATCACAAACAACCGTTCCAACATTTTATGTGTATTAGAGTGAAAGAAAATGGAGGATGTTTGTAGGGTATTAATTTTAGACTATAGTTTGACTAGCGCATTTAAAAATGGAACTGGCACTTAGATTAAAAATCTGACAGTTGTTTTGATCGCGTCTGAGTACTAACTGTTATATATATTTTCTGAGCGTTGAAATATCGTATTTTTGGCATATTTTCATATCCAGTAACACCAGTATTAAATTTTGCCAGAAATCCAGATTTGGGAATTGTCAAAATGACATTTCAATTATATGAAAACAGTGACTAATTTTACTAGGATTTTTTGTCTTAGTTCATACGAATATTGCTTGTGACGCAATGGAAAAGATACAGCGGTTTTAGTATACCTACATAGTTACATAGTTCAAGATCAGTTACATAGTTTTTTCTGTCCCATATTTACATTTCTGAAGCAACAGCAACCAATTTATTAACAATTACTTCGTTTATTATTTTTGTTGATTAAAAATTATTCACCAAAGACTGGATTGCTAAAAACTTTTATAATTTGACGAAAAGTTATTTATTGCATTTGATGTAAATGATTGCGATTTACTAGAAATGAAGTTTAATATGAATACATGAATATTAATGTGAGGCAAGTGTAAACTAGTTATTTATATCAGGAAGAAAAAAAGCTTGACTTTCTAGTCTGTGGTATGAATAATCAGTTGTTGACAAGACATTATTAAGTCTGGAATTTGTGCAGCAAAAATTGAATAAATATTTGTATTTCGAATCTCATCGAAAATATTCAATAAAGCATTACGAGCAAAAACTCCTATAAATTTTCACATTATGCACTCTCTTAAAACCGCTTTACAGTCTGCAATTCTTTCTGCAAGTTGCAAGTCGCTGCACGTAGGCATGTGCACTGAGCAGCAGCATATTGCAAAAGTTGTCTTATTTGAAAGACTTGCACTTTTGGAATATCCGTTTTGCTCAATTTTTATTGCAGCTTTTCTGCAATTCTGAGGAATAATTTAGTAATTTGTATGGTTACCACCTATATAGGGTGTCCCGGTCTTTGATACAAAAAAGAAGTACAAATAGATGAGGTCAAAATAATATCAGTTCTTCATATACATTTTTTTCATACAGGCCTTCGTTAATAAGTTACGGACCCTCAAAGGTGAAAATTCTAAATTATTAAATTCATCATATTGCAAATTTGGTGATTGATAACACATGCGTACAGCTTGTTTTTTATGTAGTAATTGAAACTTCATTATGCTTAGAACGACAGGGACGGACTATGCCCAATGGTTAACAACCCAGAATTTTTGCAAAAAATGACGATCGCAAACTGCTTTTATCAAAAATAAGTTCCCTGAAGAATTGCCAACGATAATACCCCCTTGGTTCAACTCCGCAAAATGAACAGTTTAGGAATTATTTGGGATTTTATGTCGCAGTGCATATCGAGCGGCGCCTCTACCATTTTTTGTTTTTAATTTTTAATTAGATATAATTACTATGTTAGAACCTATTTTTAAAATAAAAGTTTAGAAAGTCTTACTGTCTGCTAATGTAATTTTCACTAACAAAATTTGACAAATACACGTTACACATAACACAAAATAGAAAAACAAAACAATAATAATAATAATAATGTCTATTTCCAAACCAAAGAACATGTAACGATATGAAAAGAAACAACAAAATATATTGGAAATCCCAAGGGGAAGTTCACACTACTTGTGCTCTAACACTTGCTTTCATTTAGCATTTATGCATATATCAAACTGAGGAAACATACTACAAAAACAGGATGATACAACACAGCTTGAATAATGTCGTTGTTAAGTTAAAATAACTTAAAAAAAATAATTTAGAAGAAAGAAAACTATCAAAATATATTTTCAATATGGGCACTTTCCACTCCCACACACCTCCTAAGTCTAAATGTCGATATCCATTCAGATGTTCTCAAAAACGTACGGACCTATTAAATTATTACTCCAAAAATGCTTTTTCGTGTGCAAATAAATAACATTCGTCGTCTTCGGAAGTGTGCGGAGGTGGAAGGTGCCCATATTGAAAATGAATTTTGATAGTTTTCTTTCTTTAAAATAATTTTTTTAACTTCAACTTATTCTTATTCTGTTTCTATATTTTGTGTTATGAGTAAAGTGTGTATGTTAAATTTTGTTGGTAAAAATTACATTAGCAGACAGTAAGATTTTCTATGGCTTTATTTTAAAAATATGTAGGAATCTGAAGGCCGTATAACATTGCAACAAATTTTCAACAAAATTACTTATAAAATTTTGTTGGTAATTTTCGTTAGAAAAATGTGAATTTTAGTTAATTTATGTATGCCGTTATAAATAAAAATTATTAATATTCTCAATAAAATTATATTTGTGTGTGTGCGTATTAACTGGTTTTATGTGGCGCCACCTGTTCAGGGTGACTCTATGTTGTGAAATATTGAAGGGAAGGGACCTATAAAAATTGTCATTTATATATTCTTATAACCACCAAGTTGTGGAGATGGTAATTATTTCAATTTGCACACTGCGCAATTTCTCGCACAGATTCTCATTAAAAATGTTCTAAATTTTTATGGACAGAATTCTTTTCAAAATTATTAGATTTGTTTCATGTATGCAACTACAAAAATAGCGTAGAATATAATTATTCCAAAAATTTTGTAGAGAATTATTTACAGTGTCATACAGCCTTAAGATAGTAATCATGTTCAATTAAAAATTAAAAACAAAAAATGGTGGAGGCGCCGCTCGATGTGCACTGGGACATAAAGTTGTTCATTGGGGATGACTCGCCCCTAAAATTGTACTGAACTTTTTTTTCATTGACTGAATTGAAAAATAATAATATTAATTCACAGCAGAATTTGATTTTATGAAATTTTAAACAACTTTACGGTTTCCAGGAAAAACCGTATTAACTAACACAAGATTTTAACAGTGTTCATTAGAAAATAATCAAACGGTAAAGTGCTGCAGAGATATTAATTTTTTTCGAAATTTAGAGCCTCACTTTGGGGGCTAATAACGCCTCAGGAGTGCAACTTTATACAATATAGGTAAGTTTGGTTAAATTACAATATTTCGGACACTCCTACATGCTGTGTCAGTTCTTATGTTATGCGGGACACCCTGTATATATTATTTTCCAGTGTCTGAAGAAGTTTTTTACATAGATTTATGAAATGTGGATTGGTGGTTTAAGTGCAAAAATTGGTTTAAATTTAATCATGTTAACTAGTGGCAAAGATACATTGAGGTACTGTCATTGAATACCCTAGAATTTCTACACCACCGACTTTTTTGGACATTCAATTTTTAATTTAAAATTAGCTTAGCACAGTTGAATAAATCGATAATAATTCCAAAAATATATTCGTTTTTCAAAAAATATTTGTAGTAATTATCTATTCCAAATATAACACAGGCTGACATGTGAATCCTCCCCACACAACCCCAATTCCCCTAAAAAATTAAAAAGTCCAAACTTGCCATTCAACCCACCTATCTTTGAATAAAATTTCCCGCTAAACCCGAAAATCATCACAAGAAAACTTCTAACCTATGGATTTTTCCCCCACACACCCTCATTCCCCCCCCCAAAAAAAAAATTTAAAAAACCCAAACCAACTATCCAGATCAGACGTGGCAACCGTTATAACTTTTATAAAATCTGTCGATAAAACCAAAAGTAAAAAATATTTTTGAACTAAAAGTTCCCTTTGCTCGTACACTTAACCTCAACCAGATAGCATTTACAAATTAGGGTTGGGTTAGCATCCTAGCAAATTTTTGAGTGGAAGCTTATTGCTTTCCAAAATGTTTTAAGGTCTAAAGTAATTTTAACTTCATAATCTTTTCTTATTTTCTTCATGGTTTTATTACCCATAGAATTTGTGGGACATTAATTTAAAGTATCCTGTATAATTCGTATAATGAAAACTATCTGTAAGGTTTAACAGCAAAGTTTTTTAATAAACTCCAAGACCAATTTTTTTCAGTAAAACAAATAACAAAAAAACGGATAACATTTTTTTTAAACCATTCCCAAAGGCTGACCCTCAATGTTTGGAAGTGAAACACTGTTTGTTGAATTAAGTATTTAAGAATGATAAAAATCATTGAAAATATAGATTTCAAAATTGGTACAGTACAATTCTCTCCAAGTTAGGGTTACCAGATTTTTTCAAACAAACAAGATACCATAAAAATTTTTAAAAACACAAATAAGAAAATTTAAATAGCAAAATGAATATTTACTGATAATTTTTTAGTCTCGAAGTCTCGAATATCCACAGGACATTGAATATAGTTCCAATCTGTTATATATCTTTTCCTCAGATGCCTTATAAAGGGGATAAATATACTTGTTGGAGTTTGGATGTCTGCTACAATATTGGAGAAATAAACCAATCTTCTCCCTTGAAGGGAAACAATGTAAAAATTTTATCATTCCTTGAAGTTTATTTATTTAAAACTAAATTAACCTCTAAGTATTTGAAAATCACTATTGTTTTTATTATGAGCCTGTAGCAATTTGGTAAAATCACATATATTTTTTTCATCTAAACCCAAGTTGTTGCTATCTAAATAATATCTCAATATATTTGTGTTAATTTTTTGATATAGGTATGTTAAATTTTAGTAATAGTATGCACCCCTCCAATTTTCACATTTTTCAAATTCTGTTTGCATATCTTTACTGTTACTCCTGTTTTACATGCTCTATGTACCTGTCCTTTCCCCTAAACTTATTCAGCAGTGTGGTTAATATATCCATTTGATATACAGGACAAGGGGGTCTGTCTAATTGTTGACATTGCCTACGGTTTAGGGGAAGTTATTTCGTCAGTGATTAGGGGGCAGCATGGTCAAAGAGGTAATTTTTTGCTTAAACTGTTATAAGACCACAAAAGTAATAAGTGTAATAAATAATAACTATAAATAGATAATTTCTTAGATCGCAAAGTCCCGTGGATCATGGAGGCCTATAAAGTCAAAATTTGGCAAGTGTCGGCTCTCACTTTACCTTATCTGATACATTTTAAAACCAGTGATATATTGTAGATTTAATATCTACTTTCCACAATTCTGTTGGAATATTCCCCACCCCTACAGCCTTATCATTTTCCATATGTTTTATGGCTTATACTCCGCGGTCGAAATTATAGAGAGTGATTAAAACATAATATAAAAACACTATTACCATAATGCGTATAAAATATAAAATGATTTTTATACGGTTCCATATTATTTATCTTTGTGCCGCTCTCTACGCACATCGATAGAATCTATAATCGTCTAGAGACCGAGTTACACTGAACGTCGATCTATATTCTATCTCTGTCTTTTGCACTTGGTAGGGAATAGGGAAATGCTTTTTTAGTGGGTGTAAACGGACTTGATTTAACCCGTCCTGAGAAACGTCATAGCATAAGCATAGACGAGGGGTCTAATTCCATGGCTATAATAAATTTATAAATTAAAAACAATTGGGACGTTTTAAAATGCTGTAATAATTAAAATGGATCAAAGTGCCTGTTATAGTAAATCGTAAAAAAATATTAGATGTTATGTTTTATTATCTTTTTTCATTATTTTCTATATCTTGTTGCCTTTTACGCAGACACGCCAATGGATTTTCGTTCCCGGCACGCTTCATCCCCCTTACTAGTCCAAAAGCTAGCGATGAGTCACTCTCTATAATTTCGACCGCGGAGTATAGCTATTTTTTTAGATTAATAGAAAATGACTTACAAAGTTATGGAGGTGCCATAGAAAAATAAAACAAAAATATGTCTATCTTTCCAAGTATGTTAGAATCATTTCTTACCCTGTACTATATATAATAATTGTACTTGTTTTATATTAAATTACTTAAATTAATATTATTTTTTATTTCAGGTTTATCAAATAATATCTCAAGGCCTTTCAGTTTACACAAACTTTCTGAAGAACATTTAATGCTACAGAAAACATGCAGAGATTTTGCAGAAGCAGAATTGAAACCAATTGCAGCCCAGTTAGACAGAGAGCACAAGTTTCCAGCAGATCAGGTTTGACATTTTTAAATTTTTTATATTTGTATATAAATTTTTTTCAATTTGAGATTCAAAAAATGGGTGAATTGGGTCTTCTTGCTATTAATGTGTCTGAAAAATATGGAGGTTCAGAACAAGATTCCTTGGCGTTAGCAGTTGCTGTAGAAGAAATAGCTAGAGCATGTGGTGGTACTGGAACTATTATGTCTGTACATAATTGTTTATATGTTAATTTACTTGACAGATGTGGTACAGAGGAACAAAAGGAAACATTTCTAAAGCCTTTTACCAGCGGAACATTAGGTTGTTTCGCCCTTAGTGAACCAGGTGATTTAATTTGTTTCGATTAAGTTAATATCCCAAAAATATTTTGTAGCAGACATATTTGTCATTACGTTTAAAATTTCAACTTCATATGAAAAATCGTAATATTTAATTTTATTAATTTTTTAAGACAAATTCACTGTCAAAACTGAAATTAGGCGTTTTGAAACCGATATTCATTTTATTGACATATATCATGGTTGTTATACCTTAATTTTTAACAAAAAAGCTTAAATACAACTTTTATCAATATGAAACATAATTCAGTGAAGATACATAGGTATATATTTTTATACAATGTCACCAATAAAGTACTCATACTTTTATTAGATGATTTTCGAAAAAGCTGATTGCAATCTTTTTGCTTAAAGAATAATGTGTAATGGTGTGGTGAAAAGCAATCATGTCTATCACAAATTACATTTTTTTTCAACATATAGAATCAGTTAATTTTTGTTTTTTGCCATCGCGTAAATGAATGAAATTTTATGCAACTTTTTAAAACTGGATTATTACCCATCTTTGATAGTAACCAAGAGTTTCTTCTGGAAAATATTCAAGCATGTTGTTTCAAATTGCACAAACATAATCTACAATAAGCACAATTTTCAACTTAGCATGGTTACAAACTTACCCTTAAATTGCTTCCATTAAGTATAATAAAATGGTTTTGTACTGTTCATGTTAATACCTGCTGAATTATATATTGCACCATTACCACAATGTACAGTTCTGTTTTCAATCAAATTTTAAAAATTTCATTTACAACTTTGAATTTAATTAAAAACTTTGAATTTTCAAGTGAGGTTAAATATGATAGGGGGGTGGGGCTGGGGAGAAAGAAAGTCACAAGCAAACAACTCAGAAGGCATTGCAACTATAAAAAGTTTTGAAACCACTGGTCTAGAAAATCCCTGAACACTCGACCTTCCTTCACTATAACTACAGTGTAAAATTAAATCCATTTGCAAACTGTTTATTTTATCCATGTGCAACAGCTTTATCTTTTTAAAAGATTAACAAATTGACGTTTGAATAAACAGTTGTGCTTTATCAAAATTTTTGTCAACATGGAGATAAAAAAGCTTATATTCATATTTGACTATCTCAAAACTTGTTTTATTGAAAAATTTTAAGAAATAATCAATATATCTAAGGACTATCCTAAATATATTTTAGACGCTGGAAGTGACGTGGGAGCTATGTCAACTATAGCAAGGCTAGATGGAAACTCTTATATATTAAATGGTACAAAGTCATGGGTTACAAGTGGAGCAGAAGGCAAAGCAGCCATTGTATTCGCTACCGTAGATAAAACACTGAAACACAAAGGTAAAGTTTTATTTTCTAGTCATATATATCGACGCTTTAGTACGAAAACATGCTATCTCGGATTTCGGTTAGAAAACATGGTATCTCAAATTTCAGTTGGAAAACATACTATCTCAAATTAAGCTTGGAAAACATGCTAACTCAGATCTTTAGGTAAAAACATGCTATCTCAGTGTGACTAGAAATTTAAGTTGGCACATTGGATGATTGAAACTGTGCATTTATAATAAACATAATATATTTTTTAAAAAAGTAAGGAATGTATATGTTCAGATACACTGTTTATTTTATTTTTTTTTTATTCAACATTTTTCAAATAATTTTGTTAAGTTACTGTTATAATAAATACTTTGCTTGTACAACATGTACCTGAAAAGAGAGATGTTGGTGGCCAGTACCCAGTTTGGTTTAATGGTGAAATCATTAGGAAATTAAGGTTAAAAAATAAACTGTGGCGAAGTTATAAATTATCTTCTAACATTGATGATTATAATAAATTCAAAAAATTAAGATCTGAAGTCAAATCTTTAATTCATTTATCCTATAGGGACTATTTNTGTTATTACTAAAAATTATTCGATTTTTTTCATACAAGTTTGCTTTGATATCAAAATTAATAGCGTACTCTTATCTGATTTATAGTCGCTATTCTTGATACATTTTATTTCTCTTTTTCACAAAATCTGGGATGCACAATTTATTCTGAAAATAATTTTGTATGCCTGAGACTGCAATAAAAAGAATTATATAGTGGACCAGGCTAGGCCCCAAACTCCGGGTCCGAGTCGTACTTACTGCACCCTCAATAAAAACAAGGTAAACGCGCCTTGCATAGACTGGAAATGAAATGCAGGTATGCGACACTTTTATTACCGGTACTTTATGATCTGCTGATGATGAAACATGTGTGCATGGTGAACCGCGGAAATGTGCACATGCAATTCAAATGCGCCCGTTGGATCGATATATGTATACATATCATTCAACTTTATACATTATATTTATATTCTGGTTATTATGTTAACTCTATTAACAAAAATAAGAGTAGTGACTATAAATCAGGTAAGAGTGCAATATTCATTTTTATATCAAGGCAAACTTGTATGAAAAAAATCGAATAATTTTTGTAATAACAAACATTTTTATATATTAAGGTATACACTATTTTTTTATAATTTGTTATTTCAAAAAACGTCGAGTAATGTACGTGTTGTGCCAACTTAAATTTCTAGTCACATTGAGATAGCATGTTTTTACCTAAAGATCTGAGTTAGCATGTTTTCCAAGCTTAATTTGAGACAGCATGTTTTCCAACTGAAATTTGAGATAGCATGTTTTCCAACCCAAATCTGAGATAGCATGTTTTCGTACTAAAGCTTCGATATGAAAGTAAGGATTTTTTAATGTACAGATTAGTAGGTAGTTTTTTGCCAGTAGGCACAAAGGAATGGTACGTGTTAGTAGGTATTGAGTAGCAATAACATTTAAGATATAATATACACTTTGTATATTATATATCTCACCCACACTCAAATAATAACTTCTTGTGGACTATAAAATAGATCCTTTATATGAAAAAAACATAAACAAAATAATGTCCTTTCTCTAGGACAGGATGGAATTGTTATAAATAAAACTCCTTTTATTCCATATTTTTCTTTAATTAAAAATTTTAGTATTTGTTTTAATAGGTGAAAAAACAAATATGCATTGGTTCCATGGCAGTCTTGACTTAATCCATCATGGAGAGTACTAATATACTAATATATATTAAAATATATTTACTTTCTTGGGAATTGGAAATTTTTTTTTTTTCATGATATCCACGTACCACATTGCCGACTGAAAGTATTATCCTGACACATTTACAATATCGAAATATGTAGGTCTTTTTCAAATTCAAAATGAAAAGAGATAATATTGTGAAAATATGTCCATTGTATGACAATTGATGCGTGTTTGAAAATTTTAATGTAAAATGGTTGTTGTTTAGGTTTTCATTTAAAAATTATAACAATTTTAACAATAAAAAGCCTTTTGAAAAAGTTCCTGATCAGGAACAAAACCTCAAGAAAGAAATCGCTGTTGGTTCTTTTATCCTTTTTTTAACCGACTATCACACCAGAACCCAATTCCCAAGGAAATAAATATATTTTAATATTAAACAAAAGGTTGAAGAAGATTTCCACATTATATATCTACAGGGTGATATGGAAAAAAGTGCAATGCATAGAGGACCTCAAAATCAATATTTTCCAAAATTACTTTAACACTCCCTATCTTGAAAACAAAAGAAATTTAGACATAAATGTATAGCAACTTTTTATATGTTTTGAGGTCCTCTATCGTGTAGTGCTATGCATTGCACTTTTTTCCATGTCACCTTGTATATATAGAGGGTGTTCCAGAATAATGTGTACAACGGAAGACCACAGATTCGTAGACTCAAAATAGGCAGATTTAGGCTAAGTCACTTATATCCGAAATCGCTTCATTTGGCCGCTAAATGGCCTCAAAGTTTGTGAAAATTTTTTGAATTTTGTAAATAACTCGAATACATATTAATCGAATTAGATTATTTTTGAGGTGTGGACTTTTGCTTTCAATCTACACATTTTGGTGTTATACATAGTGTTTTTAAAACCTGCAACTCCTACAAAATTGATGTATGGTGATAATATTCCTTCATAACTTTTTCCACTTTCGGGCAATAATGGCGACTATTTTCTATTTGATAGGTGATACGATTTGGAAGTTTTTGGGCTTTTTGTAGAATTTTGATTAAACGAACGGTTTGGGTACAAGAAAATATTTTTTAAACATCTACGTTATTGTGCCACCTATTATAATAGTTAAGAAAGTGTTGGTAGGCACTGATTTTGTAGGTTGACTGAAATTTCAGTCTGATCTTTCACTTATTGTACCTGACAATTGTGAAGTGAGTGTTTACGACGATGAGATATACCACATGTTATAGCAATCAAATTTAATGAGTTTCATAGGTGTCCCTAAAAAAGTTTTCTACTAAAGGTAAAAAATTATAACAATTTGTATATAATGTGTAGAAAATTTCTATTATATGTTCATTTGGCCAACAACATATTTTAATGATTTATGTCCTCAAACAATTTTATTATATTGATGGTTGGTAAATTTCGTTTTGTTCCGTTTCAAAAGGTCTCCAAAATGCCATGTTATAATAATATTATTAAATATAATTTATTAAATAATATAAATGATTAATAGAAGGTGCCTATAAAAAATTAAAATTACCTAAATCACACAAAATTCCGCATTGCTTCACTGCACTGCTGGGCAATTTGTTCACCACTTGTCAAACGCTGAGATTTATTGCCCAGTACCCAATACAGTTGTGTTAGACTTCGATTACCCGCACTTGCATTCTTCAACTGAGCGTATACATTTCTACCACCTCCACGTGTAGTTCGACCAGACTTGTATATGGTACGCTTAAATAAATATAGGATCAAGTTTTTTAAAATATTTCACTGGCGAGTTGCTGTGTCAGCGACCGAACCTAGTTCATACCATCAACGATTTTGTTCTTCAATTGATATCGGAAAGACTATATTTCATTTTTCGATACACACACGTACTACAAATTAGAATTATTTACAGCGTGCCTAATTTTATTCAAAAAATTAGAAAAAACAATTAATTACAACGCATTGATGCATTATTATTGACCCTGTTATTCTACCCAATAGACTGAATGACGAATTTTGTTTAGAATTTTTGCAAAACACTATCCAAATTATTGGATGGTATGTCCTGACTCAGAGCTAACATGTGGTTTATGCATGATGGAGCTCCACCACATTTCACAAAGATTCCCTCGTCGATGGATCGGTAGAGGGGATGATGTTCCTGTTAACTGGCCTGTTCGTTCACCAAACTTAACACCTTGTGACTATTATCTTTGGGGTACTTTGAAAACAACAGTATATGTTTCCACATCTAACACTGAAGAAGAGTTGTGGAAGACATATCCAAATTGCCATAAATGTTTTAAGAAATTGCCCTCAAAAACTGCAAAGGATGTCCTTTAACTTTCTTCGCCGAATTAACATTTGTTGTAGAAACAACAGTTTGAACAGTTTTTATAATAAGTTGTACTAAATCTAACTTTGTTACTTTTATCTCCAGGATTTTTTATTGTATTTGATTGTTTTTACTAATTATGTCAATAAAATTAGGCACCCCTGTTTTTCTACAATGAGGGTTAATTCAGCGAATAAAGTTAAAGGGTACCATTTGCAGTTCTTGAGAACAATTTTTTAAAACATTTATGGCAATTTGGATATGCCTCCACAACTCTTCTTCAGTGTTATATGTTGAATTATACACTGTTATTTTCAGATTGCCCCAAAGATAATCGTCACAAGGTGTTAAGTCTGGTGAACGTTCAGGCTAGTTAACAGGAGCATTATCGAGCGCTATTCCTTCTACTGATCCATCGACGAGGGAATCTGGTTCAGATACTATCGGACATTTACAGTGAAATGTGGTGGAGTTTCATCATGCATAACCCACAGGTTAGCTCTGAGTAATAACGGTACACCTTCCAATAACTCGGGTAAAGTGTTTTGCAAAAATTCTAAATAAAATTCCCCATTCCGTCTATTGGGTGGAATAACAGGGCCAATAATAATGCTATCAATTTGATTGTTTTTTCTAATTATCTGAATAAAATTAAGCATATTGTAAATAACTTTAATTCGTCGTATGTGTGTATCCATATCGAAAAATGAAGTAACAGTGGTATATCTCATCGTCATAAACATTCACTAAGAATTGTCAGGCACAATGACTTAAAGATCAGACTGAAATTACAGTCAACCTACAAAATCAGTGCCTACTAGCACTTTGATAAATACAGTCAAACTTCTCCACAGCAGACACTGAAGGGGAAAAAATAATTGTCCGTTATGTAGAGGCGTCCGTTGTCGAGAAGTCTTTAATAAAATTTGATAAAGGTGTATAAAAGTAGGAATAAATTTATTTATTCATAGCTGTATGATATACACATTGTCACAAATATTTTATGTTGCATTTGTATATTATTTCTAATTAAACATTATCTATAATAATTATTATTGAAAAAAATTACATATTACATTACATATTATTAATATTATCTATACTCTAATTACATATTATCTATAATAATTATTATTGAAAAAAATCGGAAATTTTAGTTTGTTTTTTGTTTTGACAGTCATTTTTTACAATTACAGAAATTTTTTGTACCGCTACCATATCGCCTTTACAAATAAAAAACAACTCTAGATTTCTTATTGTTTGGTAGGCTTCACTAATATTATTGACAGTAGAAAACATCTGTTCATCGTCACTCTCAGTGTTGGAGATATGGACAGTTTGATTTTTTTCTCTGTAATCACCAACACAACTAACTAAACTTCGGCGGCATCGATTTCCTCGTAATTTTCAGTTTTCAATACCATTTTCTTTGCAAAATGTTGACAATGGTTAATCATTCTCAGGATCGTCTTCTTCAGGCGATGTCTCAGTTTCTTCTGCATCATCTGTGGTGTTGTTTAAAAAACCGCACCTAAGAAAACTTTTTTTATTGTTGCTGCTTCACCGGATATTGCTTTAAATTTTATATTATGTCATGAGCAAAATTAGTCCAACCATCCATTGGAAGCTTTAAAATTAATGTTTAGCTCTTGAGCAGCTTTTAAAGCTTTTTCTTTTATTATAGGTCCAGATACCGGAATATTCTTACTTCTGACTTTACAAAACCAGTCATACACTACAGAATCGATAGCACTACCATCAGTTTTAAGTTTCTTTTTCTACTGTAGATTTCAATTTTCACTATACAACTTTCTCAGTTCTATTTTTTTTCTTCAAAATGTCACTTGGAAAGTCGCAAGTGTCTTTCCGAATTTAAATTTTTCAGCCAAAACTCGTACACTTATCCTTTTCGGAGTAGTCTATTACAGATATTTTTTCTTCGAGACTTAAAAGCCTTCTCTTAATTGGATACATTTTAATGGCTTGAAGTTTGAACTCAGGAACACAATTGAATACAAAATGCATATACATATAATAATTGTAATGTATTTATAGGGTTTTACCAGCCATAAATTCTTGTAGCAGGTAGAAGGTAGCAGGTAATTTTTAAGCAGCCTAAATCTTACTCTCAATAAATAGTTTATTACCTATTTTATTGTCCGTTGTAAAGAGTGAACATTACAAGCAAAACAATACATAAATTCCAATAAAATTGTCCAGGTCCCATGTTAAGAAGGTCCCTTGATAAGAGGTATTTCATACAGATACCTACCTACATAAGGAATGTTTGGTGACTGAAAAACTGTCCATTTAGTAGAAGTTTCCGTCATCTAGAGGTGTCCGTTAACAGAAGTTTCACTGTATTATAATATGGGTGACAGGATAATGTAGACATTTAAAAAATATTTTTTTTGTACCCAAACCGCTCATTTAATCAAAATTCTGCAAGAAGCCCAAAAAATGTCAAATGGAATTACCTATCAGATAAAAAATAGATGTCATTATTGCCCGAAAAAGGAAAAGTTATGAAGGGATATTATCACCATACATCTATTTTGTAGGAGTTGTAGGTTTTAAAAAACACTCTGTATAACACCAAAATGTGTAGACTGAAAGCAAAAGTCCACACACGAAAAATAATCAAATTTGATTTATTTATAAAATTCAAAAAATTTTCACCCACTTTGAGGCCATATAGAGGCCAAACTAAGCTATTTCGGATATAGGTGAATTAGCCTAGATCTGCCTATTTTGAGTCCACGAATCTGTGGTCTTCCGTTGTACACGTTATTCTGGGACACTCTGTATATCCAGCCTAATCAGCTGTTTCAAGGCCAACGGTACCTTCTCCTCCTTCAGCATTAATTCTGTTGAAAATCTGGTATTATTTGGATCTTTTCCCCTCTTATGGATGCTGCTCTACCCTCAGAATTCGTAAATTCTTCGTTACGGCAATTCTGCCTACCGTATCTCCTTTGTTAGGTCGGATCTTCTCGGGAGTGGTCGGAAATGCTTCCTTGGCTCAAATTACCTTGATCTAGACACCTCACTCGACTTCGGGAAACTTAGGCAATGATCAGCTTTTTGTAGAAAAGTGCAGATTCGGGGTTCAGGAGCTCACAGGAGTCCTCTGGAATATTCGGAATTTCAAAATAAGCGCTAATTTTGTAGATACGTCCACGTCAGTAATTTCGTGCTCAGTTTGTCTCAAAACTTTCGGAAAACATTTTTTCTTTCTTAAAATCAAATCAAATCTAGTCTAGTCCCTGCTCTCGGGTGCCATTAAATATGTGACGAACTTTCTATGTGTGAACCCGGATGTCACATAAAAGTTCGCCATCTGGCTAACAGCAGTGGAGAAAATTGTACACCAGGGTCTTTATTAGAAAAAAAAAAACACTTCTTCTAATAGATATACTCCCATTTATTTGAAAATAAATTAATTCACTACCGACAAGTCGGTGATGGTCGGAACTAACATTTGGTGAAATTACAGTAAATGGAAAACTAAGCCTTTCCTGATTCAGCTTACCATTGACGGCTATTCGGGAAGGACGGGTGAGTGAGGAACTCCAAGAGGGAAAGGGTCCAACCCTCAGAGTTTCAGGAAAAGGGTTCCCAAGAACAGGCGGGAAATTTGCCGACGCTCTATTTCTGGGTGGAAGCGGTGACGGTAGTTCCAAGAACAGACGGGAAATTGGCCGACGCTCTGTTCCCAGACGGAAGAATGAGGAGAATTAAATCAAAATCAAAAATTAAATATTTCAGATTCGTATTCAAGGGAACATGTACTATTACCTGTAAAAAACTGACCCCCACTTAAAGTTACACCCTGAACTTTCCCATTATTTATGTTCAATTTTCCTGTTAATAAACATGAAAATTAATTAACTTTTTTCTCCCCTTTTTTTTTAGAAAATACTCAAAACATTTTTCCCAAACTCACAAAAACATTTTTTTCTAAACCTTGTTTTCTATCTCATCAGCATGAAGTATTTTAGAAAAAAAAACTGTATTGTTTACCTTCATTATTTCCTTGAGTTCTGTCGAAATTTGTGAATTCATTTCTGTTACACCCTGTATATTTATTTGAGATTACAAGAAAATTGATCTTTTTAGCTTTTACATTTTTTTATAGATCTAGGTTAAAAAGTTAAGATGTACATACACACGTAATAAGGGCCATAAAAAAATAATTATGTACATATTTTTGATAATTAATTTTGTAGAGTTTCTTACTTATACTCGATGGCCAAAATTATAGATAGTTATTCATCGCTAGCTCTTGGACTAGTAGGGGGGATGAAGCGTGCCGGGAACGAAAATCCATTGGCGTGTCTGCGTAAAAGGCAACAAGATATATAAAATATTGAAAAAACATAATAAAACATGACATCTAATATTTTTTACGGTTTGCTATAACCGGCACTTTGATCAATTTTAATTATTACAGCATTTTAAAACGTCCCAGTTGTGTTTTTTTAATTTATAAATTTATTATAGCCATGGAATTAGACCCCTCGTCTACGCTTATGCTACGACGTTTCTCAGGTCGGGCAAATCAAGTCCGTTTACACCCACTAAAAAAGCATTTTCCTATTCCCTACCAAGTGCAAAAGACAGAAATAAAATATAGATCGACGATCAGTGTAACTCAGTCTATACACGATTATAGATTCTACCGATGTGCATGGCGAGCGGCACAAAGATAAATAATATTGAACTGTATAGAAATCATTTTATATTTTATACGCATTATGGTAATAGTGTTTTTATATTATGTATTAGTCACTCTTTATAATTTCGGCCGCCGAGTATAGATCCAGTTCATATGATTAAAACTGTAGTAATTAGATAGCAGTTGCTTTAGCAGCTATATACTTGACATTATACATTATAATTGTAGTAAATTAATAATTTTCAGCCTGATTCTCAAAGACATCTTTGGTTTTAGGTATTACAGGATTTTTAGTACCTCTTCCAAGTCCAGGACTTTCACTTGGTAAAAAAGAAGACAAAATGGGAATTAGAAGTTCCTCAACGTGCAACTTAATTCTGGAAGATGTCAGAATACCTAAAGAAAATGTATTAGGTAGGTAAATTTAAACTTATGTTTAGTAATATGTATCTGACCGATTTTTTTGATTAGTTAAAATCAAATAAATTCACCTTACTGAATAGAATCATTTCTGAATGGCGTTGCATAAAAATTGTAATGATAATAATAATGATGATGATCATGATGTTGATGATTATACTGTTGATAATGATGATAACAATAATAATGGGAATGCCCACACTATTTCGTTGGGAGGGAAGGACAAATTGCAAGTAGTCCCCGCGAAATAAAAACTGGTTCACCCATGGGACCATGGAGACATGAAATAATAACCTCAGAAAAAATCGCTGCCGCAGGAACCTATTTCCAAAAATAAAATCTTTATTAGATTTGACATAATTGGTGATGAAAGTTGTCTTTTTTAGATTAATAAGCTTAATAACAGGCGAAACAAATCAAGAGCAAAAGAAATAATAATAAAAAGCACACCAACAGTTATAAGTAAAATAAAATATATTATAAGACTATATAAATATCCGCTATTAGTAGGCAATATAGAAGGAGGACATTTTGAGTTTCTCACACCACAGATGAGCAACAACAATCAACAGTTGAATCTCCTAAAAACCAAAAGCCATCCTGAAGTGTTCTCAGAGCAATCGGCAACACTAAGGCAAGGCTTTCTGACAACGCATGTTATGGACGAAACAATTGAATTGTGATCCGTTGTTATTTTAAAGTTTAATCTCCACAGGATACAAATGAGATCTACATCAACAATACTTAAAAGTATAGCCAGAATTATGTGAGAGAGTGTGCTTATTTATGTGAAAGAGTGTGCATGCAATTTGGATAGTATGTCATGATTTACCCGATCAAAGCTGTATTAACTTTATTAACAAAATTAGCTAAATTAATTTCTATTGATCTACAACGGAAAAAACCATGTTGTTGAGGCATAATCAGATTTTGTGTAAAATTATATATCTCGACGCTTTAATACGAAAACATGCTATTTCAGATTTCGGTTGGAAAACATGCTATCTCAAATTTCAGTTGGAAAACATGCTATCTCAAATTAAGCTTGGAAAACATGCTAACTCAGATCTTTAAGTAAAAACATGCTATCTCAGTGTGACTAGAAATTTAAGTTGGCACATTGATTGATTGAAACCGTGCATTTATAATAAACTTATATAATCTATTTTTTAAAAAGTAAGGAATGTTTATGTTCAGGTACACTGTTTATTTTATTTTTTTTATTCAACATTTTTCAATTAATTTTGTTAAGTTACTGTTATAAACGACAAAATTGTTAATTAAAAAAATAGAATAATATGCAGTATGTTGCAACACGTACATTACTCGATGCTTTTTGAAATAAAAAATTATAAAAAAAATAGTGTAGTACCTTAATATATAAAAATGTTTATTATTACTAAAAATTATTCGATTTTTTTCATACAAGTTTGCTTTGATATCAAAATTAATAGCGTACTCTTATCTGATCGAATAATTTTTAGTAATATCAAACATTTTTATATATTGACGTATACACTATTTTTTTTATAATTTGTTATTTCAAAAAACGTTGAGTAATGTATGTGTTGCAGCATACTGCATATTATTCTATTTTTTTAATTAACAATTTTGTCGTTTATAACAGTAACTTAATAAAATTAATTGAAAAATATTGAATAAAAAAAAATAAAACAAAGAGTGTACCTGGACATAAACATTCCTTACTTTTTTAAAAATATATTACATAAGTTTATTATAAATGCACGGTTTCAATCATTCAATGTGCCAACTTAAATTTCTAGTCACACTGAGATAGCATGTTTTTACTTAAAGATCTGAGTTAGCATGTTTTCCAAGCTTAATTTGAGATAGCATGTTTTCCAACTGAAATTTGAGATAGCATGTTTTCCAACCGAAATCTGAGATAGCATGTTTTCGTACTAAAGCGTCGATCTTTTCATAAATGACAAATTCAAAAAAGTTTTGCTACACAATTTAAAATAGTTGTATAAAATACCTAATATAATAAAGTCTTCATAAATGATTGCAAGCCACGTGACTGCCAAGCGTAGGCAACCAACTTTGCACGGCTGATACAGTCGACTAAAAATCCCTAAATCTTAGCGTCACCAACATTAATGATTCGTTTACCATGAACAATGACAGACCACGTTACTTCTACGCTTGAAATAATGCGATTGCTGATTGGTTGAATAAAATCTCATGAAATATTACACCAATCACCAGCCAGTGATACAGGATGTTGTGTTTTAATATAATCTTGAGCGTATTGTTTTAATAATTTTTCATTTTACTAAAATTTAATTGCCAACGTGAAGGAAACAAAATTACTGGTCACATGGCTTGCAATAATTTATGTAGGCCTTGTATAACAAATTTATTTAGCACTACTAAATTCATAATTATATAACTAATAAGAATTATACATAGGCACTATTGGTGGTGGGTTTAAAATGGCGATGGAGCAATTGGACAAAGCCAGAGTGGGAATAGCATCTCAAGCATTGGGTATAGCACAGGCTGCATTGGAAATTGCCGTGGAGTATGCTTCTCAACGAAAAGCTTTTGGACAACCAATCAATCAGTTACAAGCTGTGAAGGTAAATGTTTACTTATAATAAAAATGTTTCTAATTTTAATAGCGAATGGAGAAAGAAAAGATTTTGTAATCAATTTTCATAAAAAAATGTATTGAAGGCCACTTTAGTATCATAATAGGACTTTATTTAGCACTTTGCTATTTGTATACACTGCCTCACTTAAAACCTACTAAATAACATCAAAAATTTGTTTTACACACTACATACATATTTGAATACACACTTAAAGACTATATTTACATATAAGAATTTCTTAACATATTTTTAAAACGTGTTATATTTCGAGCATTTTTCACATTCTGACTTAAACTGTTATATTTACTAATACCCTTAAAAAAAATGGAATTTTGTCCAGCTGCTGTATGCACTTTTTGCAAGATAAACTTGTGATTCCCTCTTGTACTATAATTGTGGATATTATCAAAAGTTTCCAATATTTTTTTCAAGTATTGTGGTTCGTTCCCCAATGCAATTTTATGAATGAAAACTAATACATTAAACTCCAAAAACTTGTCTATATACATCCACTTCAAAATACCCAACATATCCTCAACTCTTGTATATCTGTTGCATCCTAAAATTACCCTCATAGCCCAATTATTTAATTTCTGTAGTCGTGCAATAGCACCCCTATTACTTAAGTATAGTACAGTACTACAGTAACAAAAGTGAGGTAATATTATGGCATTGAATACTAATTTTCTAGTATTTATTGTTAAATACCAACTAACCCTTTTAAGAATTCCTATTTTCTTAGCAATTTTCTTACAAATATAATTTATGTTGTTATTAAATTTTAACCTGTCGTCTATTATAACACCAAGATACTTAATTTCATCTACTACTTCTACTACCTCCCCATTTAGTTCAAATTTTAACTGATTACTACAGAATATGTCTTTATATGACTTTTTACCTAGTATCATACCTTTTGTTTTTGAAACATTTAATTTTAACTTATTAACTATTAAAAAACTGGATGTTTTTTACATTGTTAAGTATCCCATTCATTTTTACCACTAGGTCGTCTACACATGTGTCTGATACATAGATGATTGTGTCATCGGCAAATAAGTGATATTTAACTTTCCCCAATACCAGCGATATATCATTTAAGTATAAAACAAATAACAGGGGTCCAAGGATACTTCCTTGCGGTACTCCAACATCAATATTTAATTCATTTGATACAAACTGATCATATACTACTTTCTGCCTCCTATTATACAAATAATCTTGTAACCATTTCAAAACTGTACCATTAAAACCCAGTAACTTTAATTTATTAATTAATTTAACTCTATCTATGGTCTCGATTGCCCTTTTTAGATCCAAAAAGATAATAGCAGTAACTTTACCTGCATCAAGGGCCACCTTCCAATCATTAATTACACATTGTAACACACTTTCACAACTATGATTTCCTCTGAAACCAGATTGGTACTCGCATATCAGTTGGTTTTCCAAAACATAATTTAATATTTGTATATACACAGTTTTTTCCAAAATTTTTTCAAAAGCAGGTAACATGTTAATGGGCCTAAACTCTTCAGCTTTAATTGTTTTTACAACTTTTCTAATCAATGCAATAGAAGATACCTTTAACAAATCTGGAACCCGACCAGTTAACATTGAGCAATTTACTATATTCAGCAATGGATCACTTAATATGTCAAAAAAATCTTTATATATATACATTGCTACTTCATCCGGACTACTTTTGTTAGCAAGAGAAAAAACTACTTCTTTTAATTCATTCTTGTTTAATATTTTAAATTCAGAGAAATTGGTTGTCCTACTTTTTATTGAAAAAATTGTATCATTACTAGGTATAGTTTGAACGATATCGTTGATACTATTTACAAAAAACTCATTAAATTTTTGAACTATATCACTTAAATTATTTACCAGTAGGCCATTGAAGTCAATAATGTCAATATCATCTCTTGATTTTTGTCGTGTTATATGTTTCAAAGATTTCCACATTTGTTTTGCATCATGACAGGAATCAATTTTTTGTTCATAATATCTACATTTTTCTACTCTAATTGTACTAAATACTTGATTTCTGTTTTGTTTATAAGTCTCCCAGTCATTCTCTGCCCTTGATATTTTATACTGTTTATACGATTTATCCCTTTTCTTTATGGCATCTAAAACCTTATTATTAAACCACCCATTATATTTACCATGGAGCACAACATCTCTTTTCGGTGTTAATTTATCTATGATTGTTTTTATTCCACACAAAAAACCCTCATATTTGTCGTCTATTACGTTATTATTATAATTAAAATTACTCAAAAAATTCACAACATCTGTGTGAAACTGATCAAAATTTTCTAGTCCGCTCCTAATTGATATTTTCCTGCCAATTTGATAAGCTCGAATATTGATTCCAATACAGCTATGGTTACATATACTAGGTTCATTTAATACTGTCACCTCAATATTTTTATCATTACAAAATACCAAATCAATAATAGATGCTCCACCCTCATGAAAATGTGTATCTGAAGTTACTAATTGATTTAATCCATAATCCTGAGAAAGAGTTTTTAGTTTAACTGAATACGTTGAATTTACTCTCCAATTAATATTAAAATCACCTATCAATAAGAAGCTGTGATCTATATTCACAAAATTATTTTCCAACCAATCTTCAATAAAATCCAAAAATACACTATGCGATTGATTTGGTGAATGATACACGCCAGCAACCGAGATTAATTCACTTTTTATATTGAGTTTTATCACCAAGAACCAGACATTCATATTAATTACATGAGTGAAAGAAACAGTATATCTAATATCTGATCTAATATAAAAAATCACACCACCAGTGTGTCTACTTTCTGAATTTACCCTTTCAAGTTTATATCCTCCTATATTAATTTCACAATCATCTATGTCCTCAGTAACATGTGTTTCAGTTAAACATATTGCCACAGGATTTTTAATCTGCGTAAAATATTTTATTTCATCAAAATGTCTCATTAGGCTTTGCGTATTTAATAAGAATATATCATTACTTAATTGCTATTGACTTACTTTGGTATTTCTTTTTTCAATCATTTGTTTTCTTTGCAATACAGGACAGGACTTATCATATATAAAATGATTACAATCTAAATTTAATTCTGGATCATTAGCATTAGCATGCAAACAATTTCTGCATACATCATTAGAATTACAATTTTCAGTTTTATGTGAACCTGTACAAGATAAACATTTCTCAACAGCATTACAATTTTTGGCCAAGTGATTGAAACCACCACATCTAAAGCAACGCATTACCCTCACATACTCAAAAACTGGACAAAAACACCATCCTATACTTATTTTGTTCTTTTCCATAATTCTATTAAATGTTATTGGATCACATTCTATAACTGCCATATATGATGTCTTCATTTTTTTTACAACCTTAACTTCCAACTCCATCTTTTCATGAATTAGAAAAGCATTTTGCTTCAGTATCATTTGCTTAAGCTCATCCTTCACATATGGATCTTCCATACCAATGATTTTAATACTAGGATTTTTGCGACTTGGTATTTTTATATTATAGTCAGACAACTTCTGCTCTGCCTCCTTTTTCAGCTTTCCCACTTCCTCTTCCGATCTGCATTCTATAACTATTCCACCATCTTTTAATCTCCTAACATTCTTAATTCCAACCTCTAAATCAGCTGGATTAATACACTTTTGCACTGTTTCCTTTGTTTGCATACTTTCTTCTTGATTTTTTGGTTTAATCACTATAACATCTTGAGCAGCTACTTTAGAATATGTTTTCTTTTCAATTTTCATATCATTTTTGTTCTCTGTCTTCGACTCAATACAATTTTTTACTTTCTGTATCTCTAACGAAACAAATTCTTTCATTTTATTTGAAAAGTTTTCTGTTATTTTATTCATTTCCTCCAACATTTTTTCTTGTATTTTTGTAATATAATCCACCCTTTGAATATTGCATTTCTCACAAACATATTTTAATACTCTCTTTCCAGCTAGTTGCATAACTCTAACTTCAGTACTACTAATACCTGAACATGTTTGACAAAACACTGATAGACAATAATCACACTTAATTTTCTTTGACAGTTCATCAGTTGCTAAATCCCTTTTACACCCAGTGCAACTCATATCTTCTTGTATAAATGGGCTAGACCAGCCCTGTCTATGTTTAAACTGTGCCAAGTCTGCTATCTTTGTATAAAGAAATATTCAGTTTTTCAGGATTATTACACTTTTTGTACTTCTTCTCCCACTATATTCACTAACTGTTGGCATATATCTTGCTATATAACTCCATTATTAACATCACCAATAAACCAACAATTTTACACCATATAGTACAACTCCAGATCTATCTGATGATATAACTTTTATAATTATAATCTTCTATTTTCCACCAATTTTTAACTTTAAAGTAGCATCAATAGTAAAACACACCACATATCAACGAGTGCTCTAAAATAACTCATGGCGAATATGTTTTTCTAGTAACTAGTTTGAATTACAGAATACACATTTTTTGTTAAATAGGTAAATGGTAGCTAAATTTTTAGTGCTTAGCTTAATATTTAGTGAAATCAGGATAAAAACTATTGACCTATTGTGTATTGTTAGTGGTGCTGCAAATTTTGCATAATTAAGTCACACTGTCAGTTTGCTGTCATTCATTAATTATACATAATGCATATTTTTTTCAATCAAAAGTCATATTAGACAGCACAATAAAATGTGCATCCTTTTCTTGTGAAGAACTTAAAAAATGTTTTATTGGGTTATTATCCCATTTGCTGTAGTCTCAACATGACTCAGCTTTCACTGTCGGAGTCTTCACCATGAGTTGTTGAGTTATAGTTGTTGGTTCCACCAATGAAGTATAATATTTTAAGAAAGTACACGGCTAGGAGCATCCCACAGTATGACTTATCCATCTTGCTTCTTTTTCAACCTTTTGTAACTTGGAATCTTATGTAGCAGAGAAG